TTCTAACATCTATGTATCATCAGTGTGACTTGTGGCAGATGTTCTAACATCTATGTATCATCAGTGTGACTTGTGGCAGATGTTCTAACATCTATGTATCATCTGTGTGACTTGTGGCAGATGTTCTAACATCTATGTATCATCAGTGTGACTTGTGGCAGATGTTCTAACATCTATGTATCATCAGTGTGACTTTTGGCAGATGTTCTAACATCTATGTATCATCAGTGTGATTTGTGGCAGATGTTCTAACATCTATGTATCATCAGTGTGACTTGTGGTAGATGTTCTAACATCTATGTATCATCAGTGTGACTTGTGGCAGATGTTCTAACATCTATGTATCATCAGTGTGACTTGTGGCAGATGTTCTAACATCTATGTATCATCAGTGTGACTTGTGGTAGATGTTCTAACATCTATGTATTATCAGTGTGACTTGTGGCAGATGTTGTAACATCTATGTATCATCAGTGTGACTTTTGGCAGATGTTCTAACATCTATGTATCATCAGTGTGACTTGTGGCAGATGTTCTAACATCTATGTATTATCAGTGTGACTTTGGCAGATGTTCTAGCATTCATGTATACCATCAGTGTGACACTCGGAAGATGTTCTAGCATTTATGTATCATCAGTGTGACAGTCGGAAGATGGTCTAGCTTTCATGTACTATCACTATCACTGTGACCCATTATAGAACAGCCCCGTTATAAATGTTCGTGACTTACGTACCCAAGTGTGTGTTAGATACGCTGGTATTATCACTCATTAAACGTCACACTCTGGTCAACATATATAAAAACTGTTCAATCTAGATTGTTCAAAACACCTTGTTTTGTAAAATATCCTTTTTTATTACAAAAAATAATAATTTTTGTATAAAAGCTAGGCAACATTGACGCTTTTGGCAATCCCCCCTCCCCCCCCCCCCTCCCCTTGATCAAGTGGACTTACTTGCGCACATTGGCTGTAGTTGGTGTTATCTTTAATTAATCATTTTTGGCGTAGGCGTAGCTATAGTCGTAGCCTTTAACATTGATTTTGACAATTGTATGACATTTATTTTCACTTTGTTTACAACATTATCTTGGAATAACCTATTCATTCATTCAAAGAGGTCCCTAGTCTCGTGTAAGAAGACATTTATGTTGTTATTTATTTACACTTCGATTTCAACATTAATTAGTACTAGCCTATAATTCTTTCAGGTAGGTCTCTAGCCTCATGTAAAAGGGGTTAATTGAAAAGTTCTGGCTTTATATGACCTATGCCCTTTTGATTATTAGCTAAATAAAGATTAGCTTATGTCGCCTCTCTAAAAGCCATTTTCTCTTCTTCTTTTCTTTTTTATAATGTAAATAATTTCCTTCAACAAAATTAAGTAATACGTGTCGACGTTTTGTCTTTTTGAAATAGTGTCCGCCCAAGAACAATGTGCAGTTGTTTTGTTTGTGTGTTTACTCTCCAAGCTGGGTGGTTGTCGCCTGCAGACATAACATTGGAACATGGTATCCTACATCTACATTCTTAGATCCGGAATCCCCGCTAAAAGTCAACCAACAATTTTACATCCTGCTCGACCTCTGTATAATAACCCCCCCCCCCCCCAACTTTGGTCAGTTTTCGGGAAAAAAATGTTCGCTTAAACGGGATAGCTAATTGATTAAAAATCGCATGGTGCTTTTTCCGATTTTATTGAAAGGAATTTCCAGAACGGCATTACAGTGTCACACAGGTAAGAATGTCCAGTAACTGTAACCAAACATTTTTATATCTGGCATTTCCGGAGTTACCTGACTTACCAGAATCTTGGTATCACGTCGAGTCGCATAAATAAACAAAAATAATATAAATAAATAAATACATATTCAAGAAATATTTTTTTTATAAAAGTTGATTTCTTTTTATATATTAGATCAGGTGTATGGGTGAACCAAGTCTAAAGAGAAAGGGCTCAGCATCACGCAGGTATATTTTCTTCATGGAACAAGCCAATCGCCAATACGCTCATAACACTAGATTTAGAGTTGTTTCAACACCACACCATGTTTAAATAACACACTGAGGAATGTGTGTACTGTTTTAACAGCAAGAACAGAAAGGCCTGAGAACGTTCATCAGATCCTTATAAAAAATTATACCCGATTGCCTAAAATAAACATACAATTCAGCAACCCCCACTAAAAAATAAAAATAAATGTCAGTGTGGGAAAGTAACAATGACAATGTATTTTCCCCCTGTAGTAGGGGACATAACCAAAATATTGTTCAATTTTTCTTACAACTGACACACGCCTATTAACACATTTTATTGAAAAAGATAAATTAACATGAAATGTTTATTCATAAATTTCCAATCTGCTTAATGGGCAAGAAAAAAGAAACACTTATTTCTATTAAATACCTATTTCTCAATGCAATTTTAATAGTGAATTTGGAATAAAGGTAAATTACTCTTTAGATCAAGTCAGCTTTATGTTCAAATACATATCTCAGTTTAATCTGCCAGCAAATATCATATTTCTGATCAATTTTAAGTTGTGTTGTTTTCTCTACAGATGGTCACTTAACGAGAACCTGATTATCTGCGAAGGAAGAACGTGTATTGAAACACAAGACAATGTTATATATTACACATAGAAAAATATCTACTAACTACCCTACGTAACATACGACAATGTTATATAAACTACATGCTTAGTAACACTACCGCGAGACCACAAATACCAGCCAACACGTCGTTATAAGCACGACGGAAGTGACAACACCAGTACATATTAGATTTAAAAAATAACAAAATTTACTAAACTCACTGATCGAAATACGACGCTTACAACAAGGCAGAGATCAGTAGCGTAGCGAATGGGGGGGGCGGGGGGGGGACATATGTCCCCGGGCGCCGACCTTAGGGGGGCGCCAAAATGGGTTGGAAAAATAAATTGAAAGGTTGAGTGGGGTGCAAATCGAAAGTTTGAGGGGGGGGGGTGCAAATGGAAATCTCGAGGGGGGGGGGGTGCAAATCGAAAGTTTGAGGGGGGGCTGCAAATCGAAAAGTTTTTCCCCGGGCGCCGAGAAGGGTCGCTACGCCTCTGGCAAAGATTACATCACATGAACCCACCTCATCTCAATTATAACAGCAGTAAAGAAATGTTAACATTAGTTACCTGTAAAACCTTGACCTCCCTACATCACTGACCTGGGTGAAGGTGTAATCAGCAAATAATGGACCCCAGCAGGCAATAGCAGGGAGTTAAACCCTCACCTCTGGGTAGGTATGTCAACTTTATGTACGGGCACTCTGGTACTTACAAGACAGAACACAGTGTGTTAGCGGGGATTAACTAATAAATAAATAGCAGAGCACACTACTAATTGTTAGTTTAAATTTAGATATTCAAATATAAGAAGTACCCACCACATACAAAATAATATTTTAAATATACCTATATCAGGTAGATGATTAACTGATAAAATCTGTTATTTATCAAACAGTTTTTAAATTAAAAAAAAATACTAATAAGTGTTCTTCAATAGCCTTTTTTAGTTATATGAACATTTTTCTTAACAGAACACTCAATAATATTAATTACATATATTTTTTAACATTTACAAGCAATTTGTAAATTTAGATTGAATTAATTTGACAATAATCTACTCGAAGAAAAACACCGACATAGTTGTAAAGACAATAAATTATTGGAAACACATTAGAGATCGATTTATGAAGTTAAATTTGACTTTACCATATTGCTCTGAAGATGCGGCACAGCAAATAACCAGAGCTAGCAAAAGTAAATACAACATTGTCATCATGCTGAGTGATAAAATGAGCTTGCAGTTTAAAAATAATCTTTGACAGTATGTGGGGTTAGGCTCTCCAGCAACCCCTTGATCTTAAGACTGAGCTAAAGTCTGAAGCAACAAATTGATCTTAAGACTGAGCTAAAGTCTAAATCAGATCTTAAGACTGAGCTAAAGTCTAAATCAGATCTTAAGACTGAGCTAAAGGTCTAAATCAGATCTTAAGACTGAGCTAAAGTCCGAAGCAACAAATTGATCTTAAGACTGAGCTAAAGTCTGAAGCAACACCTTGATATTAAGACTGAGCTAAAGTCTGAAGCAACACATTGATCTTAATGCTGAGCTAAAGTCTGAAGCAACACCTTGATATTAAGACTGAGCTAAAGCCTGAAGCAACAAATTGATGTTTAGACTAATCTAACAATGCGTCTGTCGTGTACTTAAAGCTAGACAATAATTTGTTATTAAATCGATATCACGCATTTCCTAATAGCCTGTCAACAGTACTTAGCCAACTAAATAGTCACGTCGTGATATTGTTGGGTCAGAGAGACACAAATGATCTAACTATCAAACATAAAGTTAAATAATTAGGTGGGTCTTGGGTGTGTTGGGTCAGATAATAACGATTACTCATGCTCTTTCAGTGGAGAGTTGCATAAAAATTGTGCACCAAGTGTTTCCTTGGTATAAAAATATAAAAATGGCATTTCAAAGCTCACGCTTGTATGAAAAGGTGCATCAGTTGAGGTCTTCTTCTGCGTTCTTAATTTTATTGTTAGTAGAGGTTCCTCCAACACAATTAAATATAGATCTACTGGTCAACTGGTTATGCATAGATACATGCCGTTGACTCCGATTTTAGCCTGCTTTTAGTTTTTGGATTTGCTTCCATAGCGTTTGTGCAACCAAGAACAATTTACAAGGCAGCAGCTGTTTGATTTTGGAGTTGTCTTTCCTAGAAGAGTTGCTGTCGCCTGCTGTCGAGCCTCATCAGAACAAAGATTTTATTTTCCGAAAAAATTAAAACTTTCACCGGCTAAGTTACGTCACTTGATTAATAGAGAGAAAAGGATTTATACCAATGTATGAAATTTCTTCTACTTAACCGCATTATGGGTATTTTAGAAACCTAAAATACAATAGCAATTCCTGTATGAAAAAAAAAAAACAACGTATACATCGTCTTTTTGAAAATCTCTTTTATTTTTATTCGAGAATGCATAATATATAGATTTTTAGTAACACAAGAATTTTGACCAAATGCAAATCCTAAAAGCAACATTACTTTTTTATTCATACATTTTCAATCCACTAAAAGAGACAGAAAAAATTAAACACTTATTCTATCAAAATACCTAGGCCTTATAATTTTAATAACTAGTGACCGTTGCTGATTAAAAATACACGTCTTTGTTTAATCAGTGAGCAAGCATGTTTCAGTTTATTTTATCTTTTTTTTTTTTCTTTCAGTAGACAGTCACGTTACAAAATCCAGATAATCTGCGCAGGAAGAAAATTATTTGGTTTAACTTTGATGAATAAATTAATTATAATTAATACAAAGCAAAGAGCATTTTAAGTAAACTTTATTTTGATAATTTATTTCAGGGAACAAATAAATTTCTATGGTAAATTTGGTCATATTTTAATAAATTTTCTATTAAATATTAATACTTTCGGGTCAATTTGTTTTTACAGTATCGCGTACAAAATATTGTTAACACAATATTTAATGCGCATGTGCGGAATTTCCTTATAATTTATGTTAGCCAATTGAATGGCGAAATCTCTCTTAAAATCTCTCTTAAACTTTAAGTCTCCATTAGCAAACTTTTCTTTGCCTTTTTCAAAATATACAAAGAAATTATCAAATACGTCCGGTCTTCAATAAAGTGCGACAAAAAACAAACTATTCACATCATATAGCCACAGTTATGTTAGTTACATCGCACCTAATTTTTTAAATATTTAATGAACCATCCAAAATTGTTCTTGTTGGGCTCTGAACTCGATAAATACATCACAGAAGCCCACATAATCTGATTTATCACAAAAAGCCAACGAATACATCATATAAGCCCACATAATCTGATTTATCACAACAAGCCAACGAATACATCATATAAGCCCACACTATCTGATTTATCACAACAAGCCAACGAATACATCATATAAGCCCACACTATCTGATTTATCACAACAAGCCAACGAATACATCACATAAGCCCACACTATCTGATTTATCACAACAAGCCAACGAATACATCATATAAGCCCACACAATCTGATTTATCACAACAAGCCAACGAATACATCACATAAGCCCACACTATCTGATTTATCACAACAAGCCAACGAATAGGCTACATCACATAAGCCCACACTATCTGATTTATCACAACAAGCCAACGAATACATCACATAAGCCCACACTATTTGATTTATCACAACAAGCCAACGACTACATCATATAAGCCCACACAATCTGATTTATCACAACAAGCCAACGAATACATCACATAAGCCCACACAATCTAATTTATCACAACAAGCCAACGAATACATCACATAAGCCCACACTATCTGATTTATCACAACAAGCCAACGAATACATCACATAAGCCCACACTATTTGATTTATCACAACAAGCCAACGAATACATCACATAAGCCCACACTATCTGATTTATCACAACAAGCCAACGAATACATCATATAAGCCCACACTATCTGATATATAACAACAAGCCAACGAATACACCACATAAGCGCACACTATCTGATTTATCACAAAAAGTCAACGAATACATCACATAAGCCCACAGTATCTGATTTATCACAAGAAGGCAACGAATACAACACATAAACCCACAGTATCTGATTTATCACAAGCCAATGAATACATCAAATTAGCCCACACTATCTGACTTATCACTGAAGCAACAAATAGTTAGCACTAGTTACCAGTAACACAGTATGCTGAGCTTACATCGTTACCGTAGATGAAGCTGTTAATTGCAAATGATGGCACCGAGCAGGCACAAGCAGGGATGTAACATATCATCTTTGACTACATCACCGTGTAGGTATGTCATCTTCCTATGGTGGCACTCTGACCGTTACAAGATTAAACACACTCATTGTTAACGTCTATATAGGAAGCTCAGCATGGCAACCAGATACATACATACACCTTTTTAGCTTAAAGTTTAAATAGTTTAGCCTAATAATAAAAAAGCAAAAATATTATACTCATTGTTAGATTAAATTTAAAAAAAAAGTTTAGCCTAAAAATTAAAAACTAAAATATTATACTAATTTTTACCTTAAATTAAAAAAAGTAAATTAGCCTAACCATTAAAAAAAAATGTCATACTTATTGTTAGCTTAAATTTAAAAAAAAGCTTAGTTTAACAATAAAAAACCGAAAAATACAACGGGTCGTTTAAATTGAAATATTTTAATCTCACAATTACCTGACACATACGAAATAAATCCATATCAGGTAGATAATAGAAGTTAAAATCGAACTTTTTTTAACAAACATTTTCAACACTTAACAATATTCTTCAAAACGTTATTTTCTATTTACATAAAAATATATATTTCAACTCTACACTAAAAATAATAGATTAATTCATATAAATTATATATATATATATATATATATATATATATATATATATATATATATATATATATATATATATATATATATATATACACACACACATATATATATATATATATATATATATATATATATATATATATATACACACATATATATATATATATATATATATATATATATATATATATATATATATATATATATATATATATATATATATATATATATATATATATATATATATATATATATATATATATATACTTTTACAAGCGGCATATACATTCTCATTAAATAAATTCGACAAGTATCTACTATAAAAAAAACGCCGAGACATATCCACTAGCAAAATCTTAAAGGTATAATGACAGAGTTCGATATAGGAGCTGAACTTGTACTTAACCATACATAGCTTGAACTGAGTCACCATAAAATACAAGAGCAAGCAGCAGTAAAAAAACAATTTTCATTTTCACTGTTGATACGACCTTTCAGCTAGAATCATCTTCAATCTGTCTGGGCTAAAGCTTAACCAGTTAAGTTCGTAAAATTTAATTTGAATCCGAACTACTGAGCCAATACAAAGTTATCTGGGTCGTAAGATTGTTCGCTCAGAGGAACGCAAATGATCTAACTATCAAACATTAAGTTAAATAGTTAGGTGGGTTGTGAGTTTGTTGGGTCAGAAAAACGCAAATGATCTAACTTTCAAAGATTAAGTTAAAGAATTGCAAGAACGTGTGTTGTTATAGTGGAGAGTTACGCCGGTATAAAAACGGTGCATCGAACGTTACGGCAGTATTACGATTTTCCTTAACGGCAGAAATATTAAGTGAGGAAAATGATATGATTGCAATATTGATTGGTGATCGTATGCACAAATTGCTTTCTAGATGTGTAATTTAAAATTTAATAGAATGCCTATTTAGATTTTGCTTTGTATCAGGTGCAAGGTGCAAGGGTCATGGGAGGTTGTATAAGGTTCGTCGGAGCCTGCATATGGCTACTGGGAGGTTTGTTAATGGGGGGACAGTTTACAGGGAGGCACGAAATAGGTAGGGTGATTAGTGGAGTATCGTAAATGGGTGGATGGTAAATGGGACGCAGATAATTGGTAGGGTTGTAAATGGGAGTACCGTAAATGGGAGGATGGTAAAGGGATGCTTCATGTGGTAGCAGGGAGGCGTAATTTAATGAATAAAACTAAAAAGTAGAGAGTTTACGGCGAAGGAATCGATACTCAACGGATCATTTTACCCTACATAATTCACGCGATACCCGTCCAACCGTTCATGTACAACAAGCAGTTTCATTGTCGGTGGGGAAGCCTTTAAGTCTAGATAAATAAATAACGTGTCATAACGTGTCATTGTTTCCTCTGTCGAATTTTACACATATTTTGTTTTCGCTAGTTTAAATCAGTAGAGGGGCGCCATAATGGGTTGGAAATATAAATTGAAAGGTTGAGGGGGGGGGGGGTGCAAATCGAAATATTGAGGGGGGGGGGGGGTGCAAATCGAACAGTTTGTCCCCGGGCGTCGGGAAGGGTCGCTACGCCTCTGGTTTAAATAAGTATTTTGATCTCTAGTAAAATGTTATAATATCTCCAGTTTACAATATTGACCTTTAAGTAATTTATATACTAGCTATGAGTATTTTAAATTATCACGTGATCGTCGAAATGCCTTACAAAAACGTTCGAACAACGATTGGATCTTAATATTTAGCTTTTTACATTGAAGGAGGAGTTGAGGCTACATTAACAATACAAAGAACATTTTTCTAAAATATAAAACCTTTCAGAGTACAAAACATGCATTAATATCTTAGAGGCCCAGATTGGTTTGACAAAATTGTTTTTTTCAATTGCTTGCGAAACAAAACCATTGAAAAGAAGATTGCTAAATAATTAAAACACTATTTTATCAAATAGAAGAGAATAAAATTTGTGGTAATAACAACCAAGTTAAAATCACGAACCATGCTTTAATTTAAACACAAACAAAGGTCTAGTTAAATGTGTATAGCTTTGATCTACAAAAACACAGAATGTAAAATTATATAAAACCATGTTTGAAGCAATGCTGATCAAACAGATAAGCACGTACAACCGTTTTGTTTTACGTTTTACAACTGTCCTTGGCTGTTGTTGATAGAAATGATTTGTTCTTTGATAAACGGTTACTGGGAAAGAAGAGATGAATGGTATCTTTATGGCATGCACTCAAGCGATACTTCGATTAGAATAGAATTATTGATACAAGCCATTCGTATTGATTCATGTGAACAACGGGCCGGTAACCAGAGTATTATAATGTCATTGTACCATTATTTGAGCACAATGTATAGACTTGGGAAAAGCTTTTGCTGCGATAACTACTTTTTAAAAAACTGACATAGATAAAATTGTGTGTACAATTCGATGGCGATAAATTGCTTTTTATTATAATGGATATATTGATTATTATGATTTTTTCTGTATACGGTAATTAAATTTTGTCTTAACAATAATGTTATATTCATAAAGGTATATAGATATTTACATAATATTCTTATGCGTTTGAGATACATAAAACTATACACATAATATATTTACGTATCTATACGAATTAATTTGATTATTCATACATATATACATATCGATATACATACAGAAATAAATAATAATATGTTTACATATCTGTGTCAGAGAGTAAATCCATTTCCACATTCAAATCCACATCCACAACCCACTCTCATAATCATTATCATTCCCATTCCTATCTTCTTATCTCTAGTTTAATCTAATATATATATATATATATATATATATATATATATATATATATATATATATATATATATATATATATATAAATATATATATATATATATATATATATATATAATTTTATTTTATAACGTTCTTTTCTTTTTGTTTTTCTCTTTAAACCGTAAAGTAAAAATTGCGGCGTGTGATGTAAACTACGAAGAGTACGTGTCGAGGAACTCAAGTGAACTGACCCTCCTGCCATTGGATACAACATACACGGTCAAGAGTGAACTGATGTGTGCTGCCAAATGTGCCGAGATGACAAACGTGTGTTATAACTTTATGTACACGACAACCAGTGAAACATGTGCACTGGGTGAGTAGAGAAATGGTGCTGAAATAAGTAGGCTGACAACTGGAACTACTTTACTATCTGCGTGACTCCATACACACACACACACTCACACACACACACACATACACACACACACATATATATATATATATATATATATATATATATATATATATATATATATATATATATATATATATATAGGTGTGCTTATTTTAATTATTTCTAAATTAATTGCTATAATTAAATTATATATATAATCATATCGCAGGCCACTGGCTTCTGCCCGTGTCTGCCCTCAACACGTCCCAACCAGCAAGCACCACCAGACTTTACAGCAAGGGAATGTACTGCAATGTACAAGAGTTGGTGACGCCTGTAGGAAATGGGAGGATGAGTACGTGTAACACATCGGCTTGTTTAGGTTGGTACGACTAAATCGTCACGTGACATTAAGTGGCTAGTGATTTTGACGCGTGGAAAATGTTTTTATTGCGCAATACAATAGCACATCTTAAATGAAACTTAAATAAAGCATATTTACCTACTGTGATAGCTTTTAAAAATTCATTAGAAATTAACACCTAAAAACAAAAAACACGTATCTTTGATAATTTATAAAATGTATTTATTATTTACAAGGATTTTATAAGTTACGTTATAGAAAAATTGACTTCAGTATTAGAGAAATAAATTTAACTTGGTCGACATTCTATGCATAAATACTAAACTATACATATACATTTATTAGCCCTAATTAAATATTTAAGAAAATATATCAAATAAGTAAAGGTAACATTTCTTGTTTTATGTGTTCCCAGGGATGGTAAATGTAAGCAAGGAGCCAGTTCTTGTAGCCAAAAGTCCAGACGTCTACAGATCCTGTAAAGATGTGAAGAACTCCACAAACCCAAGACAACTGGTTCAACTGTCGTCTGGTCTTGTCGTCATGTGTGACACAGTGACAGATGGAGGGGGCTGGACAATTTTTCAACGTCGTGTCACTGGGATCGTCGATTTCTACAGAAACTGGACGGAGTACAAGAACGGCTTTGGCGATTACGGCATTGGTGATTTCTATCTGGGCAATGAAAACATTTACTGTCTTAGCTTAAAATACCCCCACGAGATTCGTTTCGATATGACTTACAAAGGAAACAACTATTACGCCCGTTATTCTTCTTTTAGCTTTGGTTCAGAAAGTCAGGGTTATGAAATATCTGTAGGGGTTTATTCAGGCACGGCCGGCGATTCTTTTACTAAGAAAAACAACAACCAGAAGTTCAGCACGTATGACGTGGACAACGATACAAATTTAGGTGGAAGCTGTGCTGTCCAATACCACGGCGCCTGGTGGTACGGCAACTGTCACGAAGTCGCCCTGAACGGCGTCTGGGGAAGTAAAAGCTACAGCATGGGACTGAAATGGTATGCCATCACAAACTCGTACGACAGTGTCAGCAGCTGCGAGATAAAAATAAGACCGTTAACATAGACCCGAGTCTCACACATATTTGTCACTGAACTCGCCTGAACTTTAAACACGCCCTTACATTTCTTATCCACACAACTCACCAACTCTATCAGCAGCCCATAGCAACCATCCTTCTACATCACAACCCCACTACCCAAGTCACCAACTCTAACAGTAGCGACCATCCTTCTACATCACAACCCCACTATCCAAGTCACCAACCACCGCCGATTGCCTGCGCCACTGCTACATAACTAAAGAAAATGATCTATGATTTAAATATCACATCCATTTTCGGAAAAGCACACGCGAAGTTATAAACAAACAAGACCTTTCAACACCTAATGTCTATATCTCATAAAATCTTTGCTAAAAAACTTACTAACTCTCGCCACCTACAATGTGCACTATTACCAGCCGGTTTTTTTTTCTTTCGATCATATGAATTTCATGAATTGCTAACTTGAAACTGAGCGGGATGCGAAGGGGGGGGGGGGGGGGGGGGCGGGATCATTTTAACTTTCCATAGGGCGTGTCACTTGTTAAAGAATGTACTGTCTATACGAATAACATTCTCTATCTTCCCCAGGGACGGTACACGTAATCTGTTCGCACCACCCTCCCCCCCCCCCCTCGACCCTACGACCCTACCCCGGAGATATGTCCAAAAAAAAAAACGCCGTCATCTAAACACTGCAAAAAATGTCAAATTTTTAGCTGTGAATTATAAATACCCCCATTGTGAAAAGTTTCGACTTTTTTTTGTATTTGTGGAAAGAGTGGAAAGAGAGACGTTTACACCTTAAAACTTTTTAATTAATTAGAGTTTTAAAACAATTTTGTAATTTTAAGAAAAATGCATGAAACAAATGCTTACTCAACTATTCTAGATTCAAGCAAATATCATGCCAGTACCATTTAGATTTCTGCGTGTCTTTTAAAGAACGAGAGGAAAAAAAGTTAGTTATGTTTAGTTGAAAACCAGTTTCTACAAATACACAAATATTTCACCCACTTCAAACCGTTTTATGACTCTCAAAATTTCGTCGGTCCTGAATCCTGATGCAACTTAGAAAACTGCTCTATTTACATTTGTCCTAATATTTTTTTCATATGAGTACGTCGAACAATCTACATATTATAAACTAATATTTTTTACATTACTTCAATTAATAATTCATTTATAACCAATTAATATTGTATAGATGTTTCGTTGATATAGATGTGCTGGTGTATAATGATGTAATTAGAACAAATCAAACACCGAGTTAGTGAACGAAACAACCAAATAAAACACTGAAAAAGCCACAAAGAACTGTGTGAAAAAGAATAATTCTTTTTACATTTTATCTTTCTGTGTAATTGGGTATTTTTTGTTTGGTAATCCAGAGAGGATTTAAGAATATCCTTTATGTTAAAGTTGTGTTTTTGCATATTATAATAACAATGATAATTTTTTTAAATGCTAATATCAAAATCATTTTTTCTAATCACCTTTGTTGGATTGTTAGTTATATAGGTCAGCTCCCTAAGATACATTTTGTTTAACAATACTACAAAGAAATTGAAATTTGTAGTTTAAAATTGAAAACAAAACATTTTTTAAGCCGGTTGTCCAACAGGTTTGCAGCAATCGTTCTACTTTTAACAATGAAACGATTATACAAATAGTTTTTCTTGATTTCGATTTGTTTTCTCTATTTATAATGGCGTTGTCATCAAATATTAAAATGTTAAAGATATTTCTGTATTTTATTTATTCAATGTGTTATAATTTTTAAAATTTAAATGGAAAATAAATGGAAAAAAAAACAGGTATCCGCTTTATTTATGCTTACACACCAAAAAAAAAAAAAAATAATAAAAAAAAAAACAGCGAGGTTAATCATATATCAAAAACAAGAAATTTTATTCATTCGATTGAATATTAAAATACATTTTGTTACGTCCGGCTATAAAATGACCAAAAGTACTAATTCGATATCAAGTCTCTCTCGCGGGATAAGCCTAACTAACCGCTATGACTATTTTTACTATTAAGTGACCTGGGCTTAACTGTGAGAACCGCGAAAGAAAGAGACAATGTCACATATAGTGCTACAAGCCAGAGTTACCCTTAAGTTGAAGGGACACATTTCCCACGTGTGAAAATCCAAATCTACGTGTCGGGAATTGAAAACAAGTTATGAGCCGGCGCTTCAACATTTCGACAGTAACAACATCAGACAAATTGTGTTGAGTTGATGTAGGTGAAAGTTAAGGGCATCTGTTGTTAAACTGCTAGTCTGTTCAACATTAAAAAAATAAATGATTCTAAACATTGGATTGCTGTCAGGTTTTGGAATTTTAATTTTTTTAAATAAGCTCTAAGTACGTTGACCCACATAATCCTGTGTGATACAGAGTGCCGGTTCAACATTAAAACTAATTACAATTATCAATAAGATAAACTACGCCGTCAGACGCTGTTTTTTATATTGAAATAACAGACATAAAATATCCTTAATTATGTCAACCAATAGAACAGGATTATTTTTGTATAGCAGCATGTCTGATAACGTTATAGAGTACATGTGTGCGTGGTTATAAATACATGACAGGACCATTTATACAATGAATGTACATTCATCTATCACCACAATATCTAAATAGAACATGTTCCACCACGATAACTACATACAACATGTACCACCACGATAACTACATACAACATGTACCACAACGATAACTACAAACAACATGTACCACCACGATAACAACATACAAAAATTACCACCACGATAACTACAAACAACATGTACCACCACGATAACAACATACAACAATTACCACCACGATAACTACAAACAACATGTACCACCACGATAACAACATACAACAATTACCACCACGATAACTACAAACAACATGTACCACCACGATAACTACATACATTCTGTGCGTCAATGACCTCGACAACCACTACCATACTTTATACCATGCATAGCTTGTGCGATACACTATTATATAAATACCATTTATATACACGTATGAGAACTTTTTTCTATAGATACCGTTTCGACCCATAGGAGCCTTACATTTATAAACTTTTAACAACTTTGCCATGAAACCTTTGTTAACCCGTTTAGACATATAAATTATTCATTGCTGACAGCCAAGTCATGACGTTTGCTTGACGGGTCATTGAACTTTTAGAAACACCCGTTGGCGTGGAACAATGTGCCTAACCAGCGAGGCATTGAACAACTTTTAACAAAAGAGTCAACTGATTTTTTTTGACTAACTCCTGTACACAAAATTCTCCATTGATAATTATATTTACATATCAGATAGCTCATTGGAAACAGCTGATAATTACATCTTAGCTTCGTACATTAAAATTCTTAGTAATTAATTATCATTATGCACATTTAAAACGAATTGTGATTATATATCAGTTAGTCCATTTGTCACTAAAGGGAATAACATATATAATTTTGTATCTTTGAAACTTATTGTAATTTTAAGTCAGTACACATCAAACTACCATTTTACACAAATGAAAAAATAAGGAATTATTGGACGCATTTCAAACAAATTGTTAATGGACGCCAGCGAGAAAAGTCTCAAAGGTATTAGAGAGGTCCATAAATTAATGTAAAAATCCTGCACGGCGTAGTTACAATTAATATGGTTATAAAATCCTGCCTGTCTGGTTTTTTTCGGACTTTACTGAAGATTGGATGTATCTGATGTTTTTAATATTTTCGGTAACTAAATAAAAATTAAAAAAAAAAGCAATAACAATTTGGTTTTCACGTGTAATATCGAAATAAACAATGGCATCCTGCTATTCGATAGGCCGCCATAAATTTTTTTGTACACATTGTAAGCTAAAAAAAAGAAAAACTAGGTCATTGGGTTTAAATTTGCATTGTTATTTAAAAACTTGATCTGCAAAGTTTTGTAAACAAATAGTTATCGATCACTAAGTTACTGTACAGCCAATCAATATTTGTCTTACGAAAGTAAAACATCCGGTTATAACTTAGGCTTGATGAAAATAAATAGAAATGTAGCCTTAAACTCAACAAATTATTTTCAAGTTCTCTGGATTTGCAACTTTTATAGCATTTATTCTAAAAATATAAAATTTCTAAATTAATTTTAGGCTTAAGTTTTTTTTTTTTTTTTTTTTTTTTTTTTTTTTTTTTTTTTTTTTTTTACGGTCTAAATCTAAAAAGCACGTTTTTATTCCATGTCAACAACATTATGGAATGAATCTCGTCAACTCGCTGGTGTCCATTAAATGTCGTGTTGGTAGATATGAAACTAATGTAAATGCAATTATTTGGCAGATTTAAAGTGTATTAGGCTAGAATAGAATGAAACATTTTTCCTTGTCTATAGCATGTGATAATTTGGTACACAAGACCATACATAATTTTAGGAAACTCAAACATCGTGTCGCGATTTAAAAAAAACAAAAACAACTAGACGACCCAGTTTCCCGTTGGAAAACGGCCTATCTGGTGCACTGCACAATATAAACAAATATCCTATTACACCCACCCCACAATTTATAAAGTCTTTTGACTCGAAACGAATCAGTCTTCTTAGATCCGAGCTCCTGCCACATTTCTTTGGGACATCCATTTATCACGTCCATAGGAAAGTAAAGTTTTGTGGACGCCTGGGTGATGGGGTATTTAGGTTGGTTTGGTTGTAGTTTTCACTAACCATTTAGAACATTTGCATATTACTACACAAAATACAAACAACGTTGATATATATTTTTCATCATCAATAACCTTTTTTTTTCATAATTAAATTCTCAAACTGATTCATACCCTTATAGTTTAAATTAAAACACAAGCCTTACTTTCACTACTTACAACATTTAGGTCAGTTTGCTCACTTCATCTTAGGCTGATTGTCACGAGTTTAAAAGACAGGGAAACACAATAGACTGTGAAGTTAACCTTTTTTAAAAAAGACGATTATATTATATATAATACGACAGGTTTTACATCGCAAATAAACGCATAATGTATAAGCGAGAAATTAATTTATTTTTTAGTAATATTTTTGTAGGATTTTTTAAGATAAGAGCATCTAGATGATGAATAGGTTATTTAAACTCATCTTACAAATTTTCGTCCTGGATTAAATATATTTTATTTAAAAAAAGGCAAAGTGTTTTTGTAAGCTTAGGAAATAAATACAATGAATACATTTTTTTAATGTCTACATTAAATGTAAACTTACTGTTTTTGTTTACAAAAGATTTGCATGACTAAAAACTATAGCGCGTCAAATTATCATGATAATGCGCTTATAGTACTACGGAATAGTAGTAGGTTACCTTGCTATTTTTTAATAAAATTTTAATTGATTCATAAAATTAATCATACATATACATATGTCAAATTTGTTGTCAGTTTGCATTGTCATGTTATCTTGACCCACAAGTAAAGTTGAAAACGAATCGATCAGTTTGAAATTTTGCCCGCTCGTTTCGAACTAAGACGACAGTCACAAATCACGAGGGACAGACTGTGGAAGCAATTTAAGTAATAGCTTGTAACACATAAATAATAATTGTAATACACTTTAGTTGCATAAATAGTGACACTTATCTATAATAATAGTTTCGCTGTCTGTCTATCTATCTATCTATCTATCTGTCTGACAAGAACGCTCTAGAGAAAAGACAAGCAATTTAAAAACATGCATAGTAATTCGAAAAACGAAGTATGACGTCGACACATTTAGCGCACAGAGTAGAAAATAATCTCACAGTAATATAATGACGTCATTGATTCTGGCGTAAATATTGAATAAAGAGGAAATGTTGTCTAATCTAAGTGGTTTGCGTGAAGAGTTTCTTGCATACAATTCTTCGGGTAGGGGCGAAGCCCCACCCCCCGCGTAAGAACGTCTGAGCCCCTCCCCCTCCCCAACTCAAAAGAAATTTCCTCATCGATACTCTATAATAAAATTACCGCCTAATTAATGTGTCTAATCTAAAAAGTGGTTTTCTTGCAATGGGACGGTAGACATGATTTTTTTTTGGGGGGGGGGGGGGTGGAGGGGTTGGGGGGGGGGGGGGAGTGTGTGTGGGGGGGTGGGTGGTGTGTGGGGGTGGGGGGGGGGGTGTGGGGGGTGGGTTGGTTTCAGTGTTTCTTTCAGACTTTTTCCTCCCCGGAGAGGGGTGGGGGGTACTTGAAATTTTCGGGGGCGGGGGTAGAATTTTCTGGGAGGGGGCGGACACTGGAAAAAGTATATAATTATATTTCGTTGAATGGGACGGTAGACATTTTTTTTTGGGGGTGGGGGGTGGTGGAGGGGTGGGGGTGGGGGTGGTGTGTGGGGGGGGTGGGGTGGGGGGGGGGTGGGTTGCTTTCAGTGTTTCTTTCAGACTTTTTCCTCCCCGGAGAGGGGTGGGGGTACTTGAAATTTTTGGGGGCGGGGATAGAATTTTCTGGGAGGGGGCGGACACTGGAAAAAGTATATAATTATATTTCGTTGAATGGGACGGTAGACATGTTTTTTTTTGGGGGGGGGGGTGGGGGGCGGTGTGTGGAGGGGGTGAGGGGTGGGGGTGGGGGGGGTGGGGGTGGTGTGTGGGGGTGGGGGTGGTGTGTGGGGGTGGTGTGTGGGGGGGTGGGTTGGTTTTAGTTTAGAGAAAAGAGACAGCACTATCAGCCTAGCGCCCGTTGTACCCTTCCTCAACGGGCCATTTTTCTCGTCTATAATAATAGTTTCGCTGTCTGTCTATCTATCTATCTATCTATCTGTCTGACAAGAACGCTCTAGAGAAAAGACAAGCAATTTAAAAACATGCATAGTAATTCGAAAAACGAAGTATGACGTCGACACATTTAGCGCACAGAGTAGAAAATAATCTCAAACCCAGAGAGTGCACAGTTATATGACGTCATTGATTATCGTGTAAACATTCAATACAAAGGCAATTTGGTCTAATCTAAGTGGTTTGCGTGAAGAGTTTCTTGCATACAATTCTTCGGGTAGGGGCGAAGCCCCACCCCCCGCGTAAGAACGTCTGAGCCCCTCCCCCTCCCCAACTCAAAAGAAATTTCCTCATCGATACTCTATAATAAAATTAATGTGTCTAATCTAAAAAGTGGTTTTCTTGCAATGGGACGGTAGACATGTTTTTTTTTGGGGGGGGGGGGGGTGGAGGGGTGGGGGGGGGTGGTGTGTGTGTGGGGGGGTGTGGGGGGGTGTGTGGGGGGTGGGGGTGGTGTGTGGGGGGTGGGTTGGTTTCAGTGTTTCTTTCAGACTTTTTCCTCCCCGGAGAGGGGTGGGGGTACTTGAAATTTTCGGGGGCGGGGGTAGAATTTTCTGGGAGGGGGCGGACACTGGAAAAAGTATATAATTATATTTCGTTGAATGGGACGGTAGACATGGTTTTTTTTTTGGGGGGGGGGGCGGTGGAGGGGGGGGGGGGTTGGAGGGGTGGGGGGTGGGGGTGGGGGTGGGGGGGCGGTGTGTGGGGGGGGTGGTGTGTGTGGGGGGTGGGGGTGGGGGTGGGGATGGTGTGTGGGGGTGGTGTGTGGTGGGGGGTGGGGTGGTGTCTGGGGGTCGGTGGGGGGGTGGGGGTGGGGGTGGTGTGTGGGGGGGTGGGTTGGTTTTAGTTTAGAGAAAAGAGACAGCACTATCAGCCTAGCGCCCGTTGTACCCTTCCTCAACGGGCCATTTTTCTCGTCTATAATAATAGTTTCGCTGTCTGTGTATCTATCTATGTATCTATCTGACAAGAGCGCTCTGTCTGACAAGAACGCTCTAGAGAAAACATAAGCAAAAATTCTATCTGACAAGAACGCTCTAGAGAAAACACAAGGAAATTAAAAACATGCATAGTATTTCGAAAAACGAAGTATGACGTCGACACATTTAGCATAGAGTTGAAAATAATCTCAAGGCGGAAAGTGCACACAGTAATATAATGACGTCATTGATTATCGCGTAAACATTGAATAAAAAGGAAATGTTGTCTAATCTAAATGGTTTGCGTGAAGAGTTTCTTGCATACAATTCTTCGGGTAGGGGCGAAGCCCCACCCCACGCGTAAGAACGTCTGAGCCCCCCCCCCCCTCCCCAACTCAAAAGAAATTTCTTCATCGATACTCTATAATAAAATTACCGCCTAATTAATGTGTCTAATCTAAAAAGTGGTTTTCTTGCAATTTCTTTAATGCAATTCTTCGGGTAGTGGCTAAGCGCGACACCAGTGTTTCTTTCAGACTTTTTCCTCCCCGGAGAGGGGTGGGGGTACTTGGAATTTTCGGGGGCGGGTGTAGAATTTTCGGGGAGGGGGAGAACACTGGAAAAAGTATATAATTATATTTCGTTGAACGGGACAGTAGACATGTTTTTTTAGAGGGGGTGGGTGGGGGGTGGGGTGTGTGTGTGTGTGTGGGGGGGGGGGGGGGTGAGTGGGGGGTTTAATTTAGACTTTTTCCTCCCCGGAGAGGGGTGGGGGTACTTGAAATTTTCGGGGGCGGGTGTAGAATTTTCTGGGAGGGGGCGGACACTGGAAAAAGTATATAATTATATTTCGTTGAATGGGACGGTAGACATGTTTTTTGGGGGGTGGGGGGGTGGGGTTGGGGGGTTGGGGGTGGGGTGGTGGTGTGTTTTGGGGGGGTGGGGGTGGGGGGGGGGTGGTGTGTTTTGGGGGGGTGGGGGGGTGGGGGTGGTGTGGAGGGGGGTGGGTTGGTTTTAGTTTAGAGAAAAGAGACAGCACTATCAACCTAGCGCCCGGTGTATCCTTCCTCAACGGGCCATTTTTCTCGTACATCAAATAATAGCCGAGGAAAATCGGAAATTTATATTGAAAATGTATTTAATTCTTAAAATATTTATTGAACTTTCGATTAATTCAAATGTGATGTTACATTGCAATTTCATCTTGTCTATACCACGCGCAGTGTGGCGTCGCTAGGTCGGTTGTCACCCGGTGCGGCACCTCCCCCCACCTCCGAAAAAACAAAGTATATTTATCTCTCTCTCTCTCTCTCTCTCTCTCTCTCTCTCTCTCTCTCTCTCTCTCTCTCTATATATATATATATATATATATATATATATATATATGTATACATACATATATATATATACATATATATATATATATATATATATATATATATATATATATATATATATATATATATATATATATATATATATATATATATATATACATATATATATATATATATATATATATATATATATATATATATATATATATATATATATATATATATATATATTACTATTTAAGTCTAATTTTGATTTCACAACTGTCAACGCTGCTGTAGGATCCCGTCAGTGTGTACCAGTTTAGGCCTGTGCCATATACAGTACTGCCCCAGATGCCGTTCAGGTGGGTGTGGTGACAGTTTGCGTACCACCACCCTGCATGATAAAGGGCGGCACAACTTCCGGTAGTATCGATATCGTTATCTACGTCATAGGTGCTGAAATTCATGTTGTTATTTAATGTGGTGTGAGAATCCCCGGCCGTTCCCGAGTAACCACTTACATACATTCTGTAACCCTGGCTTTCTGAGGAAAAACTAAAATTAAAATAACGAGCGTAATAGCTGTTTCCATTGTAAGACATATCGAATCTTTTTTCATATGAATACTTTAAACCAAAACAGTAAATGGGTTCATTTCCCAGATAGAAATCACCAATGCCGTAATCTCCAAAGCCGTTCTTGTACTCCGTCCAGTTTCTGTAAAAGCTCACCAGTCCAGAGACACGACGTTGAAAAATTGTCCAGCCCCCTCCATCTGTCACTGTGTCACACATGACGACAAGACCAGACGACAGTTGGACCAGTTGTCTTGGTTTTGTGGAGTTCTTCACATCTTTACAGGATCTGTAGACGTCTGGACTTTTGGCTACAAGAACCGATTGGTTTCCTATATTTACTGAACCTGTGAGTAACAATGATTTAAATTTTCTGAAAAATTTGTATTGATTGTTTGGCGTTAAAAAAATGTAAAGAGCGGTTCATTGGTCACCTCTTTCAATCTTTCAGTAGAATTATAAAGATTGTCAATTTTCGTGAAAAAATCGTTTCAGAAGAAACTTTGCTGTAAAGCTATTGGAAGGGGGAAGGTGAGAATTAGGTAAGCGATTAAAAATTCAACCAATCGCCAGCATTATTGTCAGAAGCGGTCAATTATTTAATATTTATTTAATATTTAATATACTTGATATTTAAGTAATATATTCAATTAAATCGAGCTTCTTCTTCATCTTCGTTCTTAATTTTTAGTGTTTGAGGGAATCGAGCCTTATCTAACAGAGGGTTGAACTCGAGACTTTTTCGATTTATCAATCATGAGCTTTTGCCGACTCGACCACGCCTCCCTCACAAATAAGGACACGTGTCAACTGGTTATGTGCCATTGAGGCCATTGACTCCGATTTCAGCCTGCTTTTCTTTTGGGATATGCTTCCATAGCCTTTGTTCAACAAAGAAAAAACTACAAGGCAGGAGTTGTTGAATTTTGGAGTTGTCTCTCTTGGAAGAGCGGCTGTCCCCAGCTAACGAGCCTCATCTGCTCGAGGGTTTGAACTCGAGACTTTTCGGTTTAGCAACCATTAGCTTTACCGACTCGACAACGCCGAGCATAATAAGTAGTTTTAGGGTATGTTAATGAATAGAGAGTTTGATGACACAAATGACGAGGGTTCGAAACCCTGGTTCGACAAACTTTATGATATACAATTTTTAAAAATCTGCAAATTGTAGAAAACTGGAAATAAAGCATCGCTCAAAAAATGGAAAAAACTTAAGTATGAAATCTATAATGTATCAATCAAATTCCATCTACTAAACGTTATCGGATTTTCAGAAAACAGAAATAAAATACCAATTCTATTTAGCGAAAATCGATACAAGCTATATTGTGCGACATATAACAAGTATCATATCCAACTAACTTCCTGAAATGTCAATGAAGCTATCGTGAGAAAACACGAACATTTACATATCTACATAAATCAAGATTTTTAAAACTGGTTAATTCATAAACGTTTATTGCTCCACTTGATTGTGTGCATAATACCTTACTTCTCGCTATACGAAAAAGTAAAACAAAAAAAACCTCAGAAGGGATTAGCTGAAATTTAGCGATTCTCATTTTTAACTACAGTAAATTAATTTTGTAAGAGAATAGCAGGAGTTATTCAAGGGGAGAACATTTTCACTTTCTGTGGTTTTTGGATTTCAAATTCTTACAATAAATTTTAATGATTTATTGTGACGAACCTCCCTGACAGGCCGCCGTGTTACACGAATTCATCCTCCCATTTCCTACAGGCGTCACCAACTCTTGTACATTGCAGTACATTCCCTTGCTGTAAAGTCTGGTGGTGCTTGCTGGTTGGGGAGTGTTGAGGGCAGACACGGGGAGAAGCCAGTAGCCTGCAGATAAAACAAAAACAATTCATCTTCACTAATAAAATACGTGACAACAAAAACATAAAGTCAATATTCAAGGAAACTACGTTTTCTTCGGTTTAAAATGTCAAAGCATTCGCGATTCTTAACTACACAATCAGGAAAATGTACGGAAGTTTAACCTTTTTACTTGTTTTTAAATATTTTAAATATTTTTTTGTGAATGACTCATTCACTAAACCACTATTATATGCAGCAACGTTTGTAGAAATATGCAAAACAGCAACAACTATCTAGGCGTCTTCCATTACATATGACGCTTCTATGTATTCTCTATGTAGAAGCAATAAATATTCAAAATATAATTCAATAATTAGTCCACATTTTGATTAGGACAAATAGAATGGGGGGGGGGGGGGGAGGTTGTAATTACATTTACATGAAATGGGGCAAAATATTCGTAGTTTAGTTCAAAGTAAATTAAATCTATTTTACCGAATTGTTTTATTTGAAATATATATTATTATTTTCATTACATTTCAGTCCTGAATGCAGTGATAATCCTGCATCAGACCACAAACATGAGCTATCCTCAGTAGCCGTGTTTGAAACTAATACAAAGTGTTAGCCAGTCAGGAGCCAGTTTTACGATGATGAACTGTTTGTAAAAGCAGCCATTTAATTTCAAAAACGGCATTTCGCGATCATTAGGCCACCATATCACAAAAGATGGAGGAACACAATAAAAGGTTGAGAGTAGTAAGTAACAAAACCTTCTAATGAAGATGTAGGCTTTAAAAGTAATGACTAGTCTACATTTACATTGGTTATAGACAGTGAAGAAGAAGTCCACAAATAGGCCTTAATGGAAGAAGGTTCGTTACCTACCTAGCGTACCTTTAGTTAATTTAAGAAACTGATTTCTTTGTCTCGTAAAATTTACCTTGAAAGATAACTATCAGAATTAATAAAATATCCATCCCTTTCGCCTTTGAAAAAATATCACAAATCAGATTCAAATTAAATATCGTCTGTTTGATCAATGTGTCCCTTTTTATCAGCTAAATCCTACTGGTCTACATTGATTATTCTCTCTTGGCCATTTTTCATTGCACAACAAAAAAGACTTTGTTGAATTCATCGATTATTAAATATTATATTTTATTTTGGTTGTGTTATGTGTGTGTGTGTGAGTGTGTGCGTGTGTGTTTGTGCGTGTGTGTTTGTGCGTGTGTGTGTGCGTGTGTGTGTGTGTACGAAGACTTTAAAGAGTCCTAACTTTACAGAACTTAGTTAAACACACACACATTAGCATTAGCTGCCATTTCTTTAATACGGCCCCGACTCCGTATATTTACATGCCGATGTTCTTAAAATATAATCACCATCCCTAAAAGCGAGAATATAAAACGTTTTTTTTTTCTAAAAAAAATTATATAGCATTTTAAACATCTATCTGTAACTTTTCCAAGATTTTTACAAATTCAGATAGTTTGTGTGGTAGACAGGTTATATATTCACATTCGCCAAAGTCCACCTTTAAAATAAAATGCTAAAACGCACAGATAAAAAGCACACTTGCACCAACTTAGTCCTAGATTCACACTATTCAATGTGCAATGCGTAAGGAAGGAATATTTTTTTGAAAAAGGATACGGTAAATTGCACTGTGAATGTGATAAGACGGGCCGCTTGACAAAAAAGAATGGTTGGTTAGATCAATAAGATAATACATCAGAGAGATGGGAAGAAATAGAGGGATGGAGAACGGTATATCTTAACGCATTGAAATACATATCGTATACTAATTTCCTCCACGACTATTTCCCTTATTGTCTAGAATATTAACATGCACAATTTTGTCCAATAAGCTTTGCTCCTGTAACGTTTATCCAGTTTTTTGCTTTTGTCAAGTACTGTAGCAAATGACAGTTCTTTGTATGTAAAGAATTTTGAACTTCCTGTAGAAGAAAGCAAATACTGGACAGAGTATGGCGGTTTGTGCCTCTTAAGTTCGCACTATTGATTTAAACTTTTTGATTGACATCTTTATACTCAAAGATTTCCTGTTTTTATAAATGATTAAATAACTCCGAGGTTTCCTGACAGGAGTCACTAAAATTAAACTGAATGAGTGAAAAGCTTTATGACGTGAGTCACAATAAGTGGGGTAGGTGGAGTCGTGAGTGGAGTCATTAGGTAAACAAGCGATTCTTGCGGTCTCTTACGAAACGGATCTCGTATCTGTGAGAGTATGAATTCCCTGAGACCACCCAGGTATGATGGGTGCATGACTTAGTTTGTGAAAGTAAACACTGTTGGGCATAATGCTGATCACACCATCCCTTCATTTGCCCAGGTCAAAAAAATTATGGACTCTATTTTATCTGTTTTGAATTTTTACTTACTTTTCAGTCTTTTGACATCAAAGAAAAGAAAAACTGCAGAGCTTAAAGAGGGATTTAAGTTGTGACCACCTTCAGCGTCTGTTTCGAGCGATGATGTTGTTAAAAAGTTTGGCTTCACAAAACGATTAGCGTTAAATACATTTAAGCATATAAGATAAATAAAATATACAAAATATATCCATAAAACTGAAACACAAGTTTTAGAAAATGACTCAGCTTTAACAGATTTCAACATCAACACTTATTCGCTTGTCAATTTTAAAATGTGTTCATGCGTAGGATGTGCAAGTAGTTCATATATACACATAAAGTGGTTAATTTCGATTGCTTTGAACTCGTTATACCTGTTCATGTTTGATATTGCTCGTTTTTTTTAAATTTAATTTTTATTTTATTATGCCACCGGTTAATGCACAGTTGAATGACAGTTTCACAATGATAACTATTGTGAACATTGAAATACATGTAGGTTGAGACAAATCTACAATTTCACTTGAACATGACATGTCTTGTTTGAGTGGACGTTCGGAACGTTCGATTAAACTTAATTTTTATTTTCTTTTGTATCGAACCTCTTCGGATTGCAGATCTGTTTCGAATCTTAGGTTTACAAGATTATTTTTATTTTACTTTGTTCGTTCTACTTTGACATTATTTTGATTGCACATTTAAGACAAGTTCCATGACAGAAAATCGATTAATTGTGTATGGTTGGAGATTTTATTTCTTTATAAGAAAATTGCACAAATAAAACACGATTTCCATTAAGTATAGACCTACTTTGCAGCTTGCCAAAAGTGTGTGAGCATGCATGATTTCGTCAGTATGTTAGGTTTCAATGAACGAAACGTAATCAAATTACTCTCTGATGCTTTCGTGTGACTTACAGGATATCAAGGGCGATGAATATTTTAAAATTTGTAATTGTGGCTTATGGAGGTAACATTTCCGTAAATATATTAATTTATTTTTTTTATATTTAAACTAACACACAAATTTGATTCGTAATACTAAAACACAGTTGGAAATTATTTACTCGATTCAATTTGATTATGAGTAATTGTTTTTTTATAGCCAATGTTGTGCTATGTGAAGAATACATTGATAAATTTTGGTTGAAAAACACAAGTGAACTGACGATACTGCCACTTGATGAAACATACACAACCAAGAGTAACCTTATGTGTGCTGCCAAATGTACTGAGAAGAAAAATGATTGTTATAATTACTTGTATGACACGGCTAGCAAGACCTGTACGTTAGGTAGGTAGCGACTCTATTTTTTGTCAACATTTTTAGAATAACTAACAATGATCTTAAATTTAAAGGTCCGAGTTTCTAAGTTTTCAAAACGTTTCCCCTGTTTTGTCTCAGGCTACTGGCTTCTCCCCGTGTCTGCCCTCAACACGTCCCAACCAGCAAGCACCACCAGACTTTACAGCAAGGGAATGTACTGCAATGTACAAGAGTTGGTGACGCCTGTAGGAAATGGGAGGATGAGTTCAAGCGACACGGCGGCTTGTCTAGGTTGGTACAACTAAATCTTCAAGTGTCAGTCTTGACAAGTAAACTGCAAGAGTTAAAAATCAATACGTATAATACAGGTTAAAACGCATGATATTAAGTCAAGATTAGACTTTCTTTTAGAAGTTTTTTTCGAGAGGGTCGAGATTCGGCAGTGTGACGTTTCCATGTCAGAAGGGTGAAATTAAATAAAGTGTATATTTATTGACATAACTTCACTGGCGTATCTTTTATTATGTACCTTGTCATTTCGTTAGTTAAATGGAGAGGAGAGAGTGGCGGGGTAGAAGTGTTTCGAGAGGGAAAAGAAAGAAAATCCAGTACCAGAAAACCTAAGAAAAATATTTTTATATTATTGATCTTGCATATTAACAGGTCGTATAAAAGTCGGAAACCAGTCGGTTCTTGTAGCCCAAAGACCAGACGTCTACAGATCCTGTAAAGATGTGAAGAACTCAACAAAACCAAGACAACTGGTTCAACTGTCGTCTGGTCTTGTCGTCATGTGTGACACAGTGACAGATGGAGGGGGCTGGACAATTTTTCAACGTCGTGTCTCTGGACTTGTGAGCTTTTACAGAAACTGGACGGAGTACAAGAACGGTTTTGGAGATTACGAAGTTGGGGATTTCTATCTGGGAAATGAAAACATATATGCTCTTAACTTAATAGATAACCTTGAGTTAAGATTCGATATGTCTTACAAAGGAAACTCTTATTTCGCTCGTTATTCTACATTTAGTTTTGGTTCAGAAAGCCAGGGTTACAGAATGTACGTCAATGGCTACTCAGGAACGGCTGGTGACTCCCACTCCACAGTGAACAACAACATGAAATTCAGCACCTATGACGTAGATAACGACATCCACGCATCTATGAATTGTGCTGCCAATTACCATGCCGGATGGTGGTATGCCGCTTGCCATCGCACTAACCTAAACGGCATTTGGGGTAGTACAAAATTTGGAACGGGATTGAACTGGTATAATATAACAAAGGAATACATCAGTGTGGACAGTTGTGAAATAAAAGTCAGACAACTGTGATTTATATATATATATATATATATATATATATATATATATATATATATATATATATATATATATATATATATATATATATATACGGGAGGTAAGCCCTCAACGGTGAATATGTTTCAAACTATTGTTTTAAGTTTTAAACTATTGTTAATATTAAATCCTTATGTACATAATTGAAAAACAATTTCAAAGATTGTATTTTGATCAAAGTGGGGTGATAGAAATCGTTTGCTTTTAGCAAAAAGTAATGATCGAATTTGATATTTTACCAAATTAAGATTCACTGTTCGATCTTTAAAATCATTTAAAACTATTTGTTATCGGTAATATTGATTGAAACTTAAGCCTGAAAATAATTCCGTAGTTTGATATTTTTAGAATCAATGTTAAGAAAAGATGCATATCCAGAGAACTTGAAAATAAGTTTTTAAAATAAGTTTTTAAAAAATGTAAGGCTACAAATTTAGTTATTTTATCAAGCCTACATTATATCGTGGAGTTTCCCATTCATAAAACACAATTTTATTGACTTTACAGAAACTCCATTATCGATATTCAGAAATGATGAAATGTAAACAACCTAATTATTTTGACTGTTTTTAAAATTGTGTTTAGTAACCGAAAATACTAAAACAATAAATACATCAAATCAAGCCAAACAAAAAATAAACATTTAAGAATTTAAAATTAAATTTATTTTAAAACATCACACCACAACATGCAAACATTTTATGCACCGTTTTGAGAATATTCATGGCTATTTATGTTAGACCATTAGCTTATATCTTTTATATTCAATGTATTTTTTTATCTCTTTATTAAAAATATTTACAGAAATGTGGATTTTCGTTTCAGTTTTAATAATTAGTGTATAAATAAACCGGGAGTGATCTTCCCTAAACTTTCTCGAATATTCTGATATAACATTACAGGGGATGGCAACTCGAGTTATAGGCATGATTTTTAATCAATTAACATTTACTTTCTCGTATATACGAAGTATAGAGAAAGTCTTGTAATTGTGCAAAAAAAAATCTGAGATTTTTACAAATCTCGACGTTTTACACCTCACTGATACGGAAAAACATAATTTTGCAATCTTGTCCGTATGTCTGTGTGTCTGTCTGTGTGTCTGTGTGTGTGTGTGTAAACACGATAACTTGAGTATCCTTACAGCTAGGTTGATGAAATTTCATATATAAGTATTTTATCAAAATCGTAGATCCGTATCAACTTTCGAGCGATTTTCGATAACCGGAAGTGGTACTTTTTACTTTCTCGTTTAGATAAAGTCATGTAATCGTGCAAAAAAAATCGAGATTTTTACAAATCTCGACGTTTTACACCTCACTGATACGGTTTACACCTCACTGATACGGAAAAACATAATTTTGCAATCTTGTCCGTATGTCTGTGTGTATGTCTGTCTGTGTGTAAACACGATAACTTGAGTACCGTTAAAGCTAGGTTGATGAAATTTCATATATAAGTATTTTATCAAAATCGTACATCCTGGTACAAAAGTCGAACTTTTTATACTTTGAATTTTTCAAAAGCCTATAACTTGAGTACTATTTCAGACAGATAAATGAAATTTCACATGTAAGTAAAAGATCTAATTCTCTGCCTTCTGTCAAATTTTGTGTAATTTCCGTTGACCGGAAGTACTATTTAACGCTATTTTCGATTTCTCAAAAAAAAAACCGCATGTAAATTTATAAAGTACTAATAATATTGCGCACTATTATGTACATTTTGTTTTGGCGTTCGCCGCTTGGTGCGCAATTATTTGTTCTATGAGATTCTATTCTATTATTAAAAGTTTAAGTAATTAAAAATCATGTCTATATTCCGAGTTATATAAGAATATTCGAGAAAGTTTAGGGGAGATCACTCCCGGTTTATTTCACTTTGAATTTTTCATAAGCCTATAACTTGAGTACTATTTCAGATAGATAAATGAAATTGTACACGTAAGTAAAAGATCTATCCTCTACCTTCTAACAAATTTTGAATAATTTCCGTTGACTGGAAATAGCAATTTACGCTATTTCCGATTTCTCAAAAAACGCGTGTAAATTTATAAGGTACTAATAATATTATGCACTATGATGCACATTTTGTTTTGGCTTTCGCTTGGTGCGCAATTCTTTTTCTATGAGATTCTATAAGATCAAATGTTGTAGGTATTTTACGGATAAGCTTGGAGTATTATAATTGTTCACTTGGTTTGGTTTGGCACCTACGTTCGTTTAAGTGAGTGCTAAAGACTATGAATAAGTTGGGGTACTATAGTCGTTTATTAAGCTGAACCAGGCGATTCTGCCCCGGGCTAGGCTGTGAGCACTTTGCGTTTATGTTCGCGTTTGTGTTTTCTTTGTGTTTAGGTTGGGTTTGCGTTAGTGGTTGTGTTTTGATTTGGTTCATTTTTGTTCTTTCTTTTTTTTCGTTTTCGTTTGTGTTTTTTTCTTTGGGTTTGTGTTTGTATTTGTGTTTGTGGTTGGTTTTGCGTTTGGATTTGGTTTGATTTCGTTTGCTTTTTCGTTTGTGTTTTTTTCTTTGTGTTAATTGTTTGTTAATTTCTTTGTGTTCGTATTGGTGTTTGTGGTTGTGGTTGGGTTTGTTGTTAGGTTTTTGTTTTCGTTTGCTTTTTTGTTTGTTTTTTCTTTGTGTTTGTATTGGTGTTTGTGGTTGTGGTTGGGTTTGTTGTTAGGTTTTTGTTTTCGTTTGCTTTTTTGTTTGTTTTTTCTTTGTGTCTATATTGGTGTTTGTGTTTGTGGTTGGGTTTGTTGTTAGGTTTTTGTTTTCGTTTGTATTTGTATTTGTAATTGTGTTAGCGTTATGTTTGCGTTTTGTTGTTTTGGTTTTGGTTGGTTGTGGTTTGGGTGGGCAGTGCCGGGTTTATGATGCTTACTAAACACACAGGTAATGGTCTTTAACAGAAAGGTTTTTCACAGAAGCCAGAGCAGGGCCTGGCCGGGACGGCTAGTACTTTATAAATTCACATGCGTTTTTCGAGAAATCGGTGATAGCGTAAATTAATACTTCGGGTCAACGGAAATTACTCAAAATTTGTCAGTATAGCAGAGCAATAGATGTACTTATTTTTGAAATTTCGTTCATCTATATGTATTAGTAGTCAAGTTATATGCTTTTGAAGCACCAAAAGTAGAATAAGTTCCACTTCTGGTTACCGGAAATGGCTAAAAAGTTGATACAGAACTAAAAATTTGATATGATACCTGT